TGGGGAGGGCTCCTTCCTCCTTAGCTTGAGTCTCTTGAGTTCCCCAGTGACCACAAGCCACTGCTGTGAGGAGGAGGGCTGAGGAGGAGCTCTCTTTCTTCTCTTTCTTTATCTCTCTCTCTCTCTCTCTCTCTAGCATCCCCACATACTCCCTATTCCTTCTCTACAACAGCAGCAGCAGCAGCGGCGGTAGTAGTGGTGGTGGTAGCGGCGGCGGCAGCAGCGGCTTCTCCCCACAGCCCTGATAGGAGCACATGATGAGGAAAGAGAGGCAGCAGCAGCAGCAACAGCTGGGAGGAGCCCTCCTGTCCTAGACAGGGTGGCCTGACACACCCAGGACAGCATCTGTATGGAAAAAGAGGAAAAAAACATGTTGTACACTTAAGACACATGTGTTCATGTGTTTATATAAGCAATTTCAGTACTGAAAAAGTCGGTTTGCTATTACAATCTCTGCATGGGTCCTTAGAGTGTTATCGCATTAAACACAAACCTGGCAGGCAAATGGAGAGAAGCACATTTATCTTTCTGTCTCCGCATGACATCAAAACAATTTTGTTCTCTTCCAGTTGAAAACACGTGGGAGAGGGTGGTAAAAACATCCCATTTGCCAAACAGATTTTTCCAGTTTGGCAAAAGGGACACTTGTATGAAACTCTTACAGCCATCTCTCACGCTTTTATAACTGGATGAGAATGAAAGTGCTTTGACATCATGCAGAAACAGAAAGATAAATGTGCTTCTCTTTGTTTGCCTGTCAGGTTTATTTTTGATGTGCTAAGGCTCTTAGTGTTTGTTTGGTTTTATTGCTCCACCCACTCACCACACACCTCCAAGAGGATATTTTCCCCCAACGGATCACTTCCTATTTCAGAACAACTTTTAAAAATTATGCGGGGCAGGAGAGGTTACAGGGGACATCTAGTGATAAGAAGCAGGTTAAGCATCCTGTCTGTTGATTTTTCTTTACAAATTCCACACACACATTTTTCATATTAAAATGATAATATGGAGTTGGAAATCCCTATAGCTGGTATATATTCATTTTGAATGTAACAAAGATGAATACTAACCACTTTACCAAATTGTAATGGTGATGAGAACACTGACTACTGTACATCCTTTCTTGGACAGTTTTTTTTTTCTTTTGCACCATGTCCTTTGGCCTGCTAGTGCTGAAGCAGTGATTAAAAATAAATGTTACAATTTTAAAAAAACTATTAGCACATACTAACCTCCATTGTCTTGGCATTAACAGGAGTACGTTCGCACTGACATACTGTCTGCCCGTTGGCTACCTAATGAGTTCCCTGGGAAAAGAAGAAGGGAAGAGGAAAGGAGCAAGTAACAAAGAAACTTCTTATTCTTCAGTTTTCAAAAGATTGGAATAAAACAAGAAAGCCTCTACTGGGTCAACCCAAAGGCCTATCTAGTCCGGCTTTCCATTCTCACTTTGGTCAACCAGTTGCCAATGGTAGGTCCATCCACAGAGCATTAACACAACTACATCCTCTATCTCCTGCTCCACAGCTGCTGGTATGTAAAGGCATATTGCCTCTGGCACTAGAGGAATTGTGTGTGTGTTTGTGTGTATGTGTGTGTGTGTATCCATCAAGACTAACAGCTACTGATACCTCTTTCTCCATTAATGTGTCTATTGCTCCTCCAAAGCTATTCTAGTCGGTAGCCATATCTGCATCCTTCAGCAGTTAATTCCACAGTTAGTTAGATGCGTCGTGTGAATTGCTTCCTATCACATGTCCTGAATCGACCACTAGCACAAAGTACAGTGGATATGAACCCTGGTTTCCAGGATGGTATTATGCATTATCATTCACTCATTCTGTAGCTGAATGGGGAGCTTTGTTGTGCCAGGATGTGTTGACACAATGAAACTCTCCACCCTGCACATCTTTTCTCCTTCTCCCGCACCATTCTATCCTAGTAGAAACTTCCCATGTCCTTCATGACACCAATGTAACCTTTGCTTTCCAGGTAACAGTGGTTACATTTACAAGGCATAAGACTGCTTGCATGTACACATCCCATTGTAATTGGATAATGAAAAAGATATTTTGAACATGCTGAAAAACATGTACTTTCCTCCCTGCCTGAAAAATCATGGGGGAATATATACCTATCACCACCAAAACACATTCTTCATTAAATCATGGAGTTGTTAACTTTTTTGGACAAGTCCCAGAATCTGGAGTCAGGATGGCCAGTTGTACTTCAGCAAAGGTGACTTTCCAAAGTTCTGTTCCTAATACTAGGAAACTTCTCATTTCCTTACTGCCCTGTTAACTATTATTTATATCAGGCAATCCTCCTTGAGAATATTTATATCAAATGGCAAGAAAGACATTTTAATAAAACCCAACCTCCCACCTCAAATCTTCCACTTGGTGCCCCAGGTCTAAACTCAGCTCCACTAACACAAGCCCATGTGCACTAATGGGGGCTTCCAACAGGAGTGCCTCGCATACCCTCTGGTTGCATCTTTCGAAGCTGCACCCCGGGTGAGGTAATGGAGGCCACGGAGGCTGTGCGGAAATTGGCTGGCAGCATCTCAGCCGAGTCAGGGCTGACGCCACGGAGGTCCTTTTCCCGGAACATCTTCCGCCAAGATGGGGAACGGCTAAAGGTCTTGGCACTATCCTAAGAGGGAGAAGATAAAGCAGCATGGTATGGACATAGGCCACTGCAAAAACCCTCACAAAGCGGGGGATTCTGGAAAGAGGGGGAACTCACCTCATCTAGTCGCCGGTCTGTTCCCATGGTGATGAGGTTCCCAAATTCTTTTTCCAACATTTGGCGAGCCTACAAAAAAACGAGGTAAGTTCTTTTGGTCTCCCTGTCTCTCACCTCTTTTCTTCCATCTCTTAGCTCTCCAGAGATGGTCCACAAGGTACAGCCCCTCTTTTGCCCTCTCTATTTTAAAGGGAAAGGTAATAAGGGATAAGGTGAACACTCAGTACAAGGTGAACTTGGGCCACAGAACTTGTGTATTGGTGAAGAGGGACTTTTAATGTATATTCATCTTAAGTGGATAAAAAGGTGAAAGCTCAGGGGAAATAAAGAACATAATTCAGAAATAAATAGGTTTTTTTACTTTTTTTCCCCTAAAGTTATTTTTTCAGTGGAAAAGTTGACAAGTGTGTGTGTGTGTGTGTGTTATGGAATATATTCTTTCAGAATGATTATAATAAAATGTTATAAAACAAACTGTACACGTATTTACCCCCCCCCTTATTTCTAAAAATTATGTTAACAGGAAGATTTCCAAGTAAAACTATGTACAGTATCAGATCATTGTTATTCTTGGTTTTAGTTTCCTTTTTTGAGTTCTTTTTACTTCTATTTGGAATTATGAAGGACTGGAGGAGACAAAATAATTTTCTTTGTTTTATTAATACTGATGGTTTATTCTGTTTTTACTGTTTTTGCCTGTTCCTGATTATCTGGGAAAACTAAAGAGGTTCTTTAGAGTTGAGATGTTCCTCAGTGTAAAGACCTTGTAGCTCTGATTATTAAAAAAAGAATTTTAAATTTTAAATTCAATTTGTAATTATTGTCTGAATAAAGTATACTTTTAATATACCTAACATGATTAATTTTGTGCGATAATACATATGATACATAATGCATTTTATGTTCCTAAATAAATGTAAAGTAACTTTACATTTTAAAAAGATGCTAATAGTCATTTTTAAAAAAAAACACCTCTTTTTTCCGAAAAAAAAAATGAACACATCTCATGTTTTTCCCATGGCTTCAAAACTTCTGGAAATTCAACACTTCTATAAGTGATGCAAATCTTTTGCTTCACTAAGGCAAAGCTCTGTAGAGCTGTTTTTTTTTTACTACTATTTGTGAGGCTCTGGGAATTTTAGTTCAAAAATATAATGTTTCCAAGCTATGGACTAAAGGCATTGATGCCTAAAAAAAAGGACTGGCATTTGGATGCTGTGAAGCCTTGAGAACCAGAGTAGCATAGTGGATTGAGCACTGGACTATGACTCTGGAGAACACAGTTCAATTCCCCAGTCGGTCATGAATCCCACTCGATGACCCTGGACAAGTCACACTCTCTCAGCCTCAGAGGATGGCAACAGCAAACCTCCTCTGAAGAAACCTGCCAAGACAACCCCATGACAGGGTCACCTTATTGTAGTGAAGCCTTAAGGATTCCCTCCTCTTATTTGGGAAGCCGTGGAACCAGTTCACCCTGCCCTATGCCATGGGCTACTGGGTTTTCTCCCACTTTTTACCCAGCTTTCTCTTCCCTTGCTTGCTCCTGACCTGTGTGTTCTGGGTAGGGATCTGTAGCAGCAGGGCCAAATCGTTGCAATCAAAGGTATCGTCCAGAGCAAGGAGGGCCCCATGCACACCACTCTCAACCAAGTTGTTGGCAAACTCTTTCAGCCCAATCATTTGTACCCAGCACATTACACGCTCGTTGGACCAAACCATCACATCTAGAGAGGAATGGGAGAAAGAAGACAAGAAGATAGATTCAGCTGAGTTACTTATGTTCCTATTTGCTTTCCCAATACACAATATTGTAGATGTTACTAACTCTGGACTTTGCTTCCCTTCCACATCAGTGTGTGGAAAACTGTTTTTAGAAAATAAATAGAATTATAAGACCAAGGCATTGGAAAGTAGTTAGTCACCATTATATTTACAATTTCTAAAAGGTAACTCTTTACTTTCCTGTTTCTTTATTTTTTTTAAACTGAATGTACACACTTTCCTCCCACCCCTTTAACTGTCACCTCAACATCTGCAATGGAGTGCAAGGCAGCAGTGCAAAACTGCATTTAAACTATGATACTCTTCCTCTACACCCCTTTGGAACTATAAAAGTAATGAAATGATTATAGTTACAGAGCAAAACAATGTTATCCCTTTTTACATTTATACCACAAAATGATATCCCTGGTTATGTTATAATATTAATATAGTATAGGTATACCTTAGTTATTGAAAAAACAAGAGCCAGAATGGTATAGTGGTTTGAGCACTGGACTAGGACTCTGGAGACCAGGGTTTGAATCCCTACTCAGCCATGGAAACCCACAGGATGACCTTGGGCAAGTGACACTCTCTCAGCCTCAGAGGCAAAGGCAACTCCCTCCCCCCTCTAAACAAATCTTGCCAAGAAATCACCTTGATAGGTTTGCCTTGGGTCACCATAACTTGAAAACTACTTGAACCCATACAACAACATTGGGAAAATGTTTTAATCACAAGAAACCAGCTGTTTGTAAGCAGTTATTTGCAAGCTTGTCTACCTTTGATTTGGTTCTGACTTTCTTCCCGTCTTCTCTCTAGTTCCTTCCGGTCATAGTTAAGACGTTTCAGGCACATGATCCCATAATGGAGGCTCACCCTGTAAGAAGTACAATTTAAACATGAAAAACCATGTATCATGATGGCTGGGGCCTTGTCTGCATAGGCCAAATAAAATGACGTCCCTCCTGGGGAGACCAGATGAAGCACGACCAAAACCCCAGCTCTAGTGTGAACAGACCTGAAAACATCCAGCCTGCTTATCACCAGAACTGGAGTATACTCCTCTTAAAGTGTATTAAATTACCTCCCTGTTTGCTCCAGATCTTCTCAGAATATCTCGAGCCCTCCTTCAAATGCCAGATGGTTATTTGAAATGTGTCCACTGTGCCACCCTGCATGTCCAGCACCGCTGCAGGTCACTCAGTTTGAGGTCAGACCAAGGTACCCAGCCATGTGATTAGAATCACAGAATCATAGAGTTGGAAGAGACCACAAGGGCCAT